GCTTCAGGCTAAGAAGTTATCTGGGTAAGGTACGGAATCTCACACTTTTTTCTCTGGGTTACTCCCATAATATAAAAATAAGAATTCAACAGAGATAACAACACCTTAAACTTTTTAAAGGATTACTATTTGGAGCTTTGCTTACTCTTCTCAAGTATATATTCTTTACTCTAATATCTGTTCGGTTTTCAGTAAATTGATGAGTTTTCTTTTATAGACTACTGCAAATGTATCGATGCATTTCTAGATGCTGAACCAGGTATGATGGCTGATGCCTGGAGTCTCAGCTACGCAGGAGGCTGAGGTAGGAGGATTGTTTGAGCCTGGGAATGAATTCAAGGCTGTAGTATGCTATAGCCGCGCCTGTGAATAGCCTCTGCACTCCAGCCTAGGCAATGTAGCAAGACCCTATCTCAAAAAAAAAATAAAAAGAGTTCCTAATGGGAAAAAGACAAGACGTATACAAAGTTGTGGAGGAGATTTCAGTTAATATTTTCAGATATTGTCCTGGAAGCTTTCTGAGCCTGCCCTGGTTCTAAGAGCTGCACAATTATATCCCATAATTCATGGCTGCAGAATCCGGAAAATGTGAACCTCCTTCAAGACACAGGAGGCTTGTGCTTCACTTAGGGTGTGCACCTGCTTCAGGATCTGATTCTGGATTGTAAAAACATCAGCTGGAAGTAATTTTTGTTTCAAAAAGTGCTCTACTGTAACAACATAGGATAATAGCTAACACTTTGAAGTTAAGACTATTTTTTCCAGATATTGAACAACGGGGAAAAATTTTCTTTTTTAATTAAAAAACCTCAATTACAAAAGCAATCCGTGCTTCCTGCATGGAAATTAAAGCAATTTTCAAGCTAAAAAGTACAAAGTGGAATGTCTCCAGCCTCCTTTTTCCTCCCCTATCCCTGTTACAGAGCTGTAGTTTATAACGTAGAACCTGGGAAAACCTTTTCAACTGTGTAACCCATCAATGTTCTGAAAACTGAACAGATATTATAATAAAGAATATGTGCTTGAGAAAAGTAGACCAGGCTCGGTGGCTCATTTGTGTAATTCCAGCACTTTGACAGGCCAAGGTGGGCAGATCATGAGGTCAGGAGATGCAGACCACCCTGCTAACACGGTGAAACCCCATCTCTACTAAAAATACAAAAAAAAAAAAAAAAATAGCCGGACATGGGGACTACAGGACTGGCCTGTAGTCCCAGAACTCAGGAGGCTGAGGAAGGAGAATTGCTTGAACCTGGGAGGCGGAGGTTGTGGTGAGCTGAGATCACACCTCTGCACTACAGCCTGGACAACAGACCAAGACTCCGTCTCAAAAAACAAGCAAGCAAACAAACAAAAAGTGTTAAAAGCTCTAACTAGTAAACTTTTTAAAGAGCTTTTTTTTTTTAAATTTGAGATGGAGTCCTGCTCTGTCGCCAGATTGGAGTGCAGTGGCACGATCTCAGCTCACTGCGACCTTAGCCTCCGGATTCAAGCAATTCTCCTGCCTCACCCTCCCGAGTGGCTGGGACTATAGGCGTCCACCAACATGCCCGGCTACTTTTTGTATTTTTAGTAGAGACGGGGTTTCACCTTGTTGACCAGGATGGTCTCGATCTCTTGAGCTCGTGATCCTCCCAGCTTGGCCTCCCAAAGTGCTGGTATTACAGGCAGGAGCCACTGCGCCTAGCCCTAAAATGTTTAAAATAATAATAATAATAACTTTCATCTGGGTCTACAGACCTGTGATACCACACCAGGCTAATTTTTTTCTTTTTCTTTTTTTGTTTGTTTCTTGCTCTGTCTCCCAGGCTGGAGTGCAGTGACACAATCTCGGCTCACTGCAACCTCTGCCTCCAGGGTTCAAGCAATTTTCCTACCTCAGCCCCCTGAGTAGCTGGGATTTTGGCTCCCTGATAATTTTTGTATTTTTAGAAGAAACGGGTTTTACCGTGTTGGTCAGCCTGGTCTCGAACTCCTGACCTCGTGATCCACTGCCTTGGCCTCCCAAAGTGCTGGGATTACGGGCATGAGCCACTGTGCCAGGCCTAATTTTTGTATTTTTAGTAGAGAAGGGTTTCACTATGTTGGCCAGGCTGGTCTCAAACTCCTGACCTTGTGATGTGCCCACCTCATCCTCCCAAAGTGCTAGGATTACAGGCGTAAACCACCACGCCCCGCCCCTTTAAAAAAGTTTAAGGCGTTACTATCTCTGTTAAATTATTTTTTGTGGGGGTGGGGGAGACAGAGTCTTGTCCCCTCTTGTTGTCCAGGCTAGAGTACAATAGCATGATCTCAGCTCACCGCAGCCTCCACTTCCTGGGTTCAAGTGATGCTCCTGGCTCAGCCTCCTGAGTAGCTGGGATTATAGGTATGTGCCACCATGCCCAGCTAATTTTGTAGTTTTTAGAGACGGGTTTTCTCCATTTTGGTCAGGCTGGTCTTGAACTCCCAGCCACAGGTGATCCACCTGCCTCAGCCTTCCAAAGTGCTGAGATTACAGATGTGAGCCACTGTGCCCGGCAAATTCTTGTTTTTATATTATAGTGGTAGCCCAGAGAAAGAAGTTTGATATTTCTTCCTCTTGAAAAAATTCTTAATTACCTGTTTTACCCCAGGGACAGCTTAGAAGAAAGTAATTTTAGCATGAGAGAAATAGAACGGTACCTTGCAGTGGGATGAGAAGGGATGACTTTCCTAGCACCAGTAGGGTGGCCAGGAGGGGCAGAGTGGAGGGTGAGTGTGGGGAAATTCCACAGAGCTCTAAGTCTCCCATGGGAGTCACCCAGCATGGGTTTATTTTATTTGAAATATTATCACTGCCTCTAAACTTCAGCTAGACCCAAATTCTCCGGTAATTCCGAAGAACACCTTATAAGCCAATTGTAAATAACTGTAGGAGTAGCTGATACTTTGGGTTTACCCGTGCTGCCGTAAACACTGCAATAAGATAGAGGCCAAGATTTTATTTTATTTTTGAGACAGAGTCTTGCTCTGTCCCCCAGGCTGGAGTGCAGTGGGGCAATCTCGGCTCCCTGCAACCGCCACCTCCTAGGTTTAAGCAATTCTCCCACCTTGCCCCCTGAGTAGCTAGGACTATAGGCATCTGCCAACACATCCCACTAATTTTTGTAGTTTTAGTAGAGACGGATTTTACCATGTTGACCATGCTGGTCTTGAACTCCTGACCTCAGGTGAGCCAAATTGGCTGGTGAGGTGGCTCACGCCTGTAAACCCAGCAGTTTGGGAGGTCAAGGAGGGCAGATCATGAGGTCAGGAGTTCAAGACCAGCTGGCCAACATGGAGAAACCCCATCTCTACTAAAAATACAAAAATTAGCCAGGTATTGTGGCACACACCTGTAATCCTAGCTACTCAGGAGGCTGAGGAAAGAGAATTGCTTGAACCCAGGAGGCACAGGTTGCAGTAATCCGAGATCATGCCATTGCACTCCAGCCTGGGTGACAGAGAGGACTCCATCTCAAAAAAAAAAATAAATAAATAAATAAAAATAAATATTATTTTTAAGTTGAAATGAAAACAACATTACAGAAACACAACTTTCCCAGAAGGGACTTCTTCTGGGTATGAGGCTGCTTTGGTTTTCTCACGTCACTCCGCTGGTTACTAGACAGCCTTCATCTATCTGAATAGACAGAAATTCCCCTTCTCCTTCCATGTTTACCTTCATTGTCGAGGATCTATGAATGATCTAGTCTCTAAAAATGTCCACTGTGGTCCAGGTGCGGTGGCCCATGCCTGTAATCCCAGCACTTTGGGAGGCCAAGGTGGGCAGATCACTTGAGCTCAGGAGTTCGAGACCAGCCTGGCCAAGATGGTGAGACCCCCCCCCGTCTCTACTAAAAATGCCAAAGTTAGCTGGGCATCATGGTAGGCACCTGCAGTCCCAGCTACTCTGGAGGCTGAGGCAGAAGAATTGCTTGAATTCTGGAGGTTGAGGTTGCAGTGAGCCGAGGTTTCTCCACTGCACTCCAGCCTGGTGACAGACCGAGACTCTGTCTCAAAAAAAAAAAGAAAAAGAAAAATCATTATCTTGTGGTGTATCACACAGTTGTTCTAGGCTAGGGTACATTTTCTTTTTTTGTTTTTTTGAAATGGAGTCTCGCTCTGTTGCGCAGGCTGGAGTGCAATGACAAGATCTTGGCTCACCTCAACCTCAGCCCCCTGGGTTCAAGTATTTCTTCTGGGATTACAGGCGCCTGCCACTATGCCCAGTTAATTTTGTATTTTTAGTAGAGGTGGTTTTTCACCATGTTGGCCAGGCTGGTCTCGAACTCCTGACCTCAGGTGATCCGCCCGCCTCAGCCTCCCAAAGTGCTGGGATTATAGGCATGAGTCACCGCTCTTGGCTGGTTTCAGGACATTTGTATGCTCCTAAAAATTACAAAGAACTCGCCCCCCCCAGGAGGTTAGTTTATATGGATTGTATTTATTGATATTTACCATATTAGAAACCAAAGTTTAGAAAATTTAAAAACATTTCTTTATTAATTCATCTTCAAAGAACAATAAACCCATATCATGTTCATGTAAATAACACTTTTTTTTTTGGAGAGATGGAGTCTCGCTCTGTCACCCAGGCTGGAGTGCAATGGCGAGATCTTGGCTCACTGCAACCTTGGCCTCCTGGGTTCAACCAATTCTCCTGCCTCAGTCTCCTGGGTAGCTGAGACTACAGGTATATACTGCCACACCTGGCTAGTTTCTTTTGTATTTTAGTAAAGACGGGGTTTCTCCATGTTGGTCAGGCTAGTCTGGAGCTCCTGAGCCCAGGCAATCTGCCAGCTTCCGCCTCCCAAAGTGCTAGGATTATAGGTGTGAGCCACCACAGCTGGCCAAATAACACATTTATATTCAAAATAATTATATTCTCCAAAACAAAAAACACTGTAAAGAGTGGCATTTACAGTTTTATAAATCTCTTTGCTATCTGGCTTAATAGAGGACAGCTGGTTCTCATGTCTGTGTTCAATCTATTGCAGTATGATGTTTTGGCTGAACTACATGAAGAGAATCTGGCCTCACACGATTACGAAGCTGGAAAATGAAGGGCCCCATAGACCCACTGGAAGGGTCTCCAGGATCCCAGGGCTCCTCAGACCACACGCTGAGAACTGCTGCACTGGAGCAATGCACATCGTGATAAAGATAGGACTGTGGTGGGAATAAAAAGGCTTCTTCTGAGGTCTTTGTATTAATGTGAAAAATCTGTTTACAATTCTGTCGTTTTCAGGATCCTACAGTTGGAGGTCGGGAAATTCCATACTTGTCAATTCTTCCCCATTTCCAGCACAGCACAGAAGTTTGACTCACGGCCGGGCATGGTGACTTGCACCTATACTCCCAGCACTTTGAGAGGCCAAGACAGGCAGATCACCTGAGGTCAAAATTTGGAGACCAACATGGCCACCATGGTGAAACCTCATCTCTACTAAAAACACAAAAAACAAAATTAGCTGGGCGTGGTGGTGTGCGCCTGTAGTGCCAGCTACTCAGGAAGGCTGAGGCAGGTGGCAGAGGTTGCAGTGAGCCAAGATCGCGCAACTGTACTATAGCCTGGGTGATAGAGCAAGACTCTATCTCAAAAAAAAAAAAAAAAGTATGACACATGTCTCTTAAATAGCAAAATGAAACAAAGGGCTACATTTAAAATTTAAAATACAGTTGTTAATTAACTGATTTATTTTTTATTTTTTGTAGACACAAGATCTCACTGTGTTGCCTAGGCTGGCCTCAAACTCCTGGTTCCAAGTGATCCTCCTTCCTTGGGCTCCCAAAGTGCTGGGATTACAGGTGTGAGCCACCAGCCACAGTTGTTGATTTTTATTTTTATTTTTTTAGACAAGGCCTCACTCTGTTGCCTAGGCTGGAATGCAGTGGCACCATCATAGCTCCCTGCAGCCTCAAACTCCTGGGCTTAAGCCATCTTCCCACCCGGCTTCCCAAGCAGCTGGGACTACAGGCATGCACCACCGTGACTGGTTTATTTTTTAAATTGTTTGTAGAGATGAAGTCTTCCTATGTTGCCCAGGCTGGTCTTAAACTGTTGGCCTCGCCGGGCGCGGTGGCTCACGCCTATAATCCCAGCACTTTGGGAGGCCGAGGCTGGTGGATCACCAGGTCAAGAGATCGAGACCATCCTGGTCAATGAGGTGAAACCCCGTCTCTACTAAAAATGCAAAAATCAGCTGGGCATGGTGGCGCATGCCGGTAATCCCAGCTACTCAGGAGGGTGAGGCAGGAGAATTGCTTGAACCCAGAAGGCGGAGGTTGCAGTGAGCCAAGATCGTGCCATTGCACTCCAGCCTGGGTAACAACAGCAAAGCTCCGTCTCAAAAAAAACCGTTGGCCTCAAGTGATCCTCCTGCCTCAGCCTCCCAAAATGTAGGGATTATAGGCATGAGCCACTGTACCTGGCCCACAGTTGTTGACTTTAATGAAGAGAGGCCCTGTATTAATCATCTATCTCTGAGTACTAAAAATAGGAAAAGATGTATATTTTAGATCTGTAGGCCAGGTGCGATGGCTCATGCCTATAATCCCAGCACTTGGGAGGCCGAGCAGGTGGAACACCTGAAGTCAGGAGTTTGTTTGTTTGTTTTTGTTTTGGGCTCTTTTTTTTTTAGACACTCTTGCTCTGCTGTGCCAGGCTGGAGTGCTGCCGTGGTGTGATCTTGGCTCAGTGCAACCTCTGCCTCCCTGGTTCAAGCCATTCTACTGCCTCAGTCACCCAAGTAGCTTGGAGTACAGGCACATGCCACCACACCCAGCTAATTTTTGTATTTTTAGTAAAGACAGGGTTTCACCATGTTGGCCAAGTTGGTCTCGATCTCTTGACCTCATGATCCGACTGCCTCAGCCTCCCAAAGTGCTGGGATTACAGGCATGAGCCATCACACTCAGTTGAGGTCAGGACTTTGAGACTAGCCTGGCCAACATGGCGAAACCCCATTCCTACCAAAAATATAAAAATTAGCCAGGCCTGGTAGCGGACGCTTGTAATCTCAGCTACTCAGGAGGCTGAGGCAGGAGAACCTTTTGAACCCAGGAGGCAGATGTTGGGAGCTGAGATCAGGCCACTGGACTCCAGCCTGGATGACAGAAGGAGACTCTGTCTCAAAAAAACAAACACATAAATCCGTAAATCGGTAGGTGAGACATATTAAGACATGTAAAAAGGCTGATTCTTTTTTTTTTTTTTAAGATGAGATTTCACCATGATGGCCAGGCTGGTTTTGAACTCCTGACCTCAGGTGATCCACCCACAGCCTCCCAAAGTGCTAGGATTACAGGTGTGAGCCACCGTGCCCAACATAAAAAGGTTGATTCACAGTTTAAACATTTATTTTTTAAATATATGAATTGAATTTAAAAAATGAAACTATAAAACTAAAAGACTATTTTATTATAAAGGCTATTCTCTTACATACATACACACCTGCACACTTTATTATTATTATTATTTAAAGATGGTTTTTTTTTTTTTGAGACGGAGTTTCACCCTTGTTACCCAGACTGGAGTGCAATGGCGCAATCTCGGCTCACCGCTACCTCCGCCTTCTGGGTTCAAGCAATTCTCCTACCTCAGCCTCCTGAGTAGCTGGGACTACAGGCACACACCACCATGCCCAGCTAATTTTTGTATTTTTAGTAGAGACGGGGTTTTACCTTGTTGACCAGGATGGTCTCAATCTCTTGACCTCGTGATCCACCCGCCTTGGCCTCTCAAAATGCTGGGATTATAGGCGTGAGCCACCGCGCCCGGCCAAAGATGGGGTTTCACCATGTTGATCAGGCTGGTCTTGAACTCCTGACCTCAGGTGATCCACCCATCTCAGCCTCCCAAAGTGCTGGGATTACAGGACTGAGCCATCACGCCCGGCACACTTTATTATTTAAAACAGTTTTTAGTTCCCAGCAAAATCAGATGCAAAGAACAGAAAAAAAAAGGAATCTTAAAAATTAAATAGGGCAACTTCTTTAACAGATAACGAAGCTACCTCCACAGTGTTCCAATGCTGGTCCAAGCTAGTTGAAACCCAGTTTATTTCAGGATTGTAGTCTTAATAAAAATCATTCCATTAAATAAAGGCTGTGGTAGATAGAGCCACTGAGTCTCGCTCTGTCACCCAGGCTGGAGTGCAGTGGAGTGATCTCAGCTCGCTGCAACCTCTGCCCCCAGATTCAAGTGATTCTCCTGCCTCAGCCTCCCCAGTAGCTGAGATTAGAGATGCCTGCCACCATGCCCTCTAAGTTTTGTATTTTTAGTAGAGGTGCTTTTTGGCCATGTTGGCCAGGCTGGTCTTGAACTCCTGACCTCAGGTAATCCTCCGGCTTCAGCCTCCCACAGTGCTGGGATTACAGGCGTGAGCCACCATGCCCAGCCAAGAATATTTCATACAACATATTATTTCGTTTTCACAAGAACCCAGTTAATATTTTATATTTGTCCAATGTTATGGGTCATAGAGTAAGTTTAAATAAGTTAAGGCAACTCCCCTACACAACCAGAAAGAAAGAAGTCAAGTCTCTCTGTCTGCAAAGTTGGTAATCCTTGTGCAATACTCCACTGCCCCTCAACCAAAGTGCAAGTTAGTTTCACATTTTGAAAATCATGTAACACCTCTTAGCTTTTCTGGACCTCAGTTTATACTTCTGTAAATTGAGATGATAGATTCATCTCTAAAAAATTGATGATTTTGGCTGGGCATGGTAGCTCATGTCTATAATCCCAGCACTTTGGGGTCAGGAGTACCAGCCTGGCCAACATGGTGAAACCCTGTCTCTACTAAAAATACAAAAATTAGCCAGGCATGGCAGCACATGCCTGTAGTCCCAGCTACTTGGGAGGCTGAGGCAGGAGAATCGCTTGAACCCAGGAGGTGGAGGAGGTTGCACCACTACACTCCAGCCTGAGCGATAGAGTGAGACTCCATCTCAAAAAAAAAGAAAAGAAAGAAATTAACCGGGCATGGTGGCGGGCACCTGTAGTTTCAGCTATTCAGGAGGCTGAGGCAGGAGAATTGCTTGAACCCGGGAGGCGGAGGTTGCTGTGAGCTGAGATCGGGCCCCTGGGTAGGGGGAAAGAAAAAAGGAAAGGAGGGGAGGGGAGGAATTTTTTTTAAATTAATGATTTCAGGAAATCCTAAAATGAGCCTGTCTCTTCATTTTTGTGGATTTCAGTTATCAATATATAGAAGAAAATGTTTTATGTAAGTTCTGCAGCAAAACATACCAATCTTTACTTCTATTTACACTTCAATTATGAAAGCTAATTGTTGGATTAAATCAGTTGCAACTGGGCTATATCAAACTTCACAAGTGCTGTTAAAACCTAAAGTCACCACATAAGAATCCAGAAATGTCACCTAAAATTCTAAATCTCCAGCTTCCTGGGAAAATGGAAATACTGGCCATACTTGCTCCAAATTCTCAGATGGAAATCGTTGCTGAGAGAATAGCAGAGACCTCTGTAGTCCCCTGCAGTCCTACCACTTCCTGTGGTCCCCAACAGTGACCTCATCCTAGCTCTCCTTACAGTCATTTGAGGGGTGCCTGGTGTAAGAATAACTGTGTACTGTTTTCAGGACTGTTAATGGTTTGCTAGTATTGCTGGATTTATGTCACGAAACTCCAACAAGTCAATGTATTCATGGGTCCACCTGACATGAAATTAAGAAAGAACCTCTTTCTCCTTCTGTTCCTCCTCCTTCCTTCTCCTTCACCTCCTTCTCCTCTTCCTCCTTCTCCTTCTTCTTTCAGAAGCAGCCTCAACCTCCCAGACTCAAGGGATCTTCCGGCCTTGGCCTCCCAAAGTCCTGGAATTACAGGCATGAGCCACCACACCCGGCGCGGAGTATGCATTTGAAACAAGTTCTCCAAATGATTCTTATGTAAACTAAGTTTTGAGAACCAATGTCCTAAAGAAGAAAAGCAATTCATTAATTTGCAAATTTTTCTTCCTTCAGTGGTTTTTTGACAGAATATGTAAATTCTAAGAGAATTCCAAGGAAGAATTTACTCCTAGCTGGACAGATCAGGGAAGGCTGCCCTGGGAGATGGTAGCATTTGAGCCAGCCCTTGATGAAAACACAGGATGTAGACATGTGCAGAATGTTTCCCCAGGGGGCGGAAACTGTGTGAGCAAAGGCACAGAGACAGGAAAAGGCAGGAGTCGGGAAGGGCAGGCAACTTCCCTTGGTTGTCA